CAATGCATATCACAAACAATGAATTTTGGCTATCTCTTTGCAAACCCTAAAAATTTTAATATCTGATCAGCAGCATATCATCATTCTAGTCTCTTTCAGACCTCAGTGACATAACCATATCAATTTAGTTAACAGTGAATGAGGAATGTGTTAATTTTTTTGATTAGTTCAGTTAAGTCTGCATTTCACAGAATTAGAGAGTATTGTTGGTGTGCTGAAGGACGCTTTTAGGTCCATTATGTCTGTGCCAGCTCTCCAAATGAGCATTTCACTTCATGCCATTCTCTGTCTTCTCCATGTAACCTTGCAAATTGTTCCTTTTCAAATAACTATTTAATTACCCTTTGATGACTGTGATTGATCCTACCACCACCACACTCACTGGCAGTTATCGCAAACCTCAAACACTTCTGTGAAAAAAGATTCCTCATATCACTTTTTCTTCATTTATCAATTACTTTAAAGGAATGCCCTCTTGTTCTCAATCCTTTTGTGAGTGGGAACATTTCCCCTCGCCCAACTATTCTATCCAAATTCATAATTTTGAATACTTCTACCAGATAGCCTCCCAGGATCACAGATATCTCCATGGTGTTCGACGTTCCATGGGCAGTTGCTCTCGCCGCATCCTGAGATCCACACTCAGTGCCATGCAGCGTCATGTGCACACTCTCAACCTTTCTCTCCAACAGCATTGCAACACACTGGCTCAGGGCTGCACCACTCTGCAGTTCCACTTCATCCTCTGGCTCATTCGACGTGCTAACAAGAAACATTTTCTTTTCCTTTCAGGCATCAAGGCCCACAAGACGCAACAACTCAAAAATACCCATGGCCCTCTGGAACCTTTCTCTCCTCACTTTCCCTCTGACTCTATCCCCTCCCCAAACCCCCCCCACCTCCTGTCGGGTATTCATCATCCCTCCTAACCTTCCGCTCTCCGATGCTGAACGCTCCGTACTCAGCAAAGGCCTCAGCTTTATTCTTCTGTGTCCCCACCTTAATGAATTTCGGGCACAACATGATGTCAAACTCTTCTTTCGCCGTCTTCGCCTCTGTGCTCATTTCTTTGGACAAGAGTCCTCTCCCCGTCCCACAGACCCCTTTGCCCAACTCCAACATTCTCCCTCCACCTGGACCCCTCCCTCCGGCCTTTTACCTGCACTCGATCTGTTCTTTGAGAACTGTCGATGTGACATTAGTCACCTCAATTTCGCTGCCCCTCTCACCAAATCCAACCTATCTCCCTCCGAACTGACCGCACTCCGTGCACTCAGATCTAACCCTCACTTTGTTACTAAGCCTGCCGATAAGGGTGGTGCTGTTGTAGTCTGGCGTACTGACCTCTACATTGCAGAGGCTAAGCGCCAACTCTCAGATACCTCCTCCTAATTTCCCCTGGACCATGACCCCACCATGGCACATCAGGCCATTGTATCCACTACGGTAACTGATCTCATTTCATCCGGTGATCTCCACCCTCTGCTTCCAAGCTAATAGTCCCCCAACCCCGCACAGCTCGTTTCTACCTCCTGCCATAAATCCACAAACAGGACTGTCTGGGCAGACCCATTTTTCCAGCCTGCTTCTGCCCCATAGAACTCATCTCTTCCTACCTTGATTCAATTTTCTCCCTCCTGGTCCTATCCCTGCCCACGTACATCCATGATTCCTCTGACGTCTTACGCCGGTTTCAAAACTTCCAGTTTACCGGTTCCAGCCACCTCCTCTTTATCATGGATGTGCAATTCCTTTACACATCCATTCCCCACCAGGAGGGTCTTAGGGCTCTCCGCTTCTTACTGGAGCAAAGACCTGAACCATCCCCACCCTCTTCCGCTTGGCTGAGCTTGTCCTCACCCTCACCAACTTCTCTTTCAACTCCTCTCATTTTCTTCAGGTAAGAGGGGTTGCCATGAGTACCCACATGGGCCTTAGTTATGCCAGTCTCTTCATTAGGTACTTGGAACATTCCTTGTTCCAGTCCTATTCTGGCCCCCACCCACAACTCTTTCTCCAATACATTGATGATATCATCGGTGCTGCTTCCCTCTCTCGTCTGGAATTGGTAAACTTCATCAATTTTGCCTCCAATTTCCACCCTGCCCTCACGTTCACCTGGTCTATCTCTAACTCCTCCCTGCCCTTCCTCGACACTTCTGTTTCCATTTCTGGGTATAGACTGGCCACCAATATCCATTACAAACCCACTGAATCCCACAGCTACCTGGACTATACATCCTCACACCCCACTTTCTGTAAAGACTCCATTCCATTCTCTCAGTTTCTCCATCTCCGTCGCATATGCTCAGATGAGGCCAACTTCGACAAGGGAGCCTCCGAAATGTCCACCTTCTTTCTCACCCGAGGATTCCCCAGCTCCGTTGTCAACAGGGCCCTCAACCAGGTCCAACCCATCTCCCTCACTTCCGCCCTCACCCCTTCTCTACCCTCCCGCAACAGCGAAAGGGTTCCCCTTATCGTCACCTACCATCCCACCAGCATCCACATCCAGAAGATCATCAGACACCGTTTCTGCCACCTCCAGCAAGATGCCACCACCAGACACATATTCCCCTCTCCTCCCTTGTCCGCAGGGACCGTTCCCTCCAGGACACCCTGGTCCACACTCCCTTCACCCCCAACACCTCCTCACAGCCCTACGGCACCTTCCTCTGTAACTGGCAAAGACGCAACACCTGCCCCTTTACCTCCTCTCTCCCCAGTATCCAAGGGCCCAAATATACCTTTCAGGTGAAGCAACATTTTACCTGCACTTCCGAGAATCTAGTCTACTGCATTCGCTGCTCACAATGTGGTCTCCTCTACATTGGGGAAACGAAGCGTAGACTTGGTGACCGCTTCGCAGTTCATCTACATTCTGCTCACAAAAAAGACCCTGAACTACCTGTTGCCTGCTACTTCAACACACCAGCCTGCTCCCTGGCCAACATCTCCGTCTCTGGCTTGCTGCAGTGTTCTAGCGAAGCCCAACGCAAGCTGGAAGAACAACACCTCATTTTCCGCTTGGGGACCCTACAGTCCTCCAGACTCAATATTGATTTCAATAATTTTAGGGCCTAAACTCTCCCATATCCCAGCCCCCTATCCCACACACCAGGCCTTGTTACCACATCACCTGCCATCACACACCCCCTGTTGTTAATCACTAACAGTTCCCATAAACAACTATTCACCCTCCCAGCCTGATCGTTAGCAACTCCTTTGTCTGTCCAACTGTCTTTCTCCCTCTTTGGGCTCTATGCTATTGTTTACTCCCTACCCTACCCACCTCCCCATTTTCTGCATATTAACTGACGTTTTCCCAGCCACCACCAGTACTGAGGAAGGGTCACCGGACCCGAAACATTAAATCTTGTTTTTTCCTTCACAGATGCTGCCAGACCTGCTGAGCTTCTCCAGCAACTTTGTTATTTTTTCCTGATTTACAGCATCTGTAGTTCTTTCGATTTTTGCTAGCCTTTCATCCTTCTCTTCTAGGCAGCACAGCAGCTCAGTGGTTAGCACTGTCACCTCATAGCCCCAGGGTCATGAGTTTGATTCCAGCCTTGGGCAAATGTCTGTGTGTTTGCACATTCTCCCTGTAACTGTGCAGGTTTCCTCCCACTGTCCAAAGGTGTGCAGGTTAGGTGGATTGACCATGCTAAATTGCATATAGTGTCCAGGATATGCAGGCTGGGTTGGTTAGCCATGGGAATTACAGGGATGGGGTGGGTCTGGGTGGAATGCTCCTCTTTGGAGGGTTGGTGTAGACTTGATGGGCTGAATGGCTTGCTTCCACACTGTAGGGATTCTACTTTTTCTAAGGAACATTTACTGCAAAGTCAAACTCTTACTACTTAGGTCAAACTCCTAAATTGGCAGTTCTCAGATTGAAGAATTTAGTTCCAATCTCAAGAAGCTTAAATAGAAAAACAGAAACCACATTAGAAAAAAAGCACTAGTCTTTCAGCACACTGCCACTTCCTGATGCAATGCCCTAAATATAATTTCAAATCCTTGTTCAGATTATGATTCTTGTGTATCTTGCCCACCATGAATACAACTTGTCATAATTTTGGCCTTCAATATACTGAGCTGTATACATTTAAGATCCAGCAATTGAACAAGTTGTTCACTTCTCATGACTAAAAATAGACTGGTCAATCAGAAGATAACAATTTTCAGCAAAAGTTTGAAGTCAATTTTTTTAAGAAAACGCCAATTCAGCCCAGCTCAAGAAACTGAACCTAAGAAAAATCGACTTTGTTAAAATCTGGCAAAGAAACAGGGTGCCCAGTTACAAACACTGATGATATGAAGTTTATTACACTTGAACTTCCTTACTGTCCTGTTTTAACACCAACACCTTGATAACTTGTTATGATCTCTCTACCTTAATTAGTTTGTACAGTCTGGATTACTTGTTACTTTGATTAGACCCTCAGCATGTGACTCACACCTATCATGTTATTCCAGCAGTTTGATTTGTCCCCAGCATCACCTTATTTTAAAATTTTTATAATTATCTCTCTGCCTCAATTAATTGGATTATAGGTCATTCCATTCACTTACTGTGGACACACAGCATCTAACACTTTTGATCACCTGCAGAGATTTATTATTCGACATTCCACTCAGCCATTTGTATGATCTTTTGATCTCTCTGCCTACAAATTCTGTGCCTGTTTGCTTTTCCTCACTTCACCTTACAAAGGGCAGCGCATCAAAAGCTTGGGATTTCGAATCAACCTGTTGGACTATAACCCTGGTGTCTGACTTCTGACCTTGAACAGAAGACAGTCAAAACCCATTTGTACAGGTGGTGGATTTTCTGGCTGGATTATTTCAGTCAGTTCTGGTTTAGGACTAGAAGAAGAAAACCCAAATATCTGCACAGCAAAATAGTAATAAAAATAACTCTCTTCAAAATCAGGAGACTATTACCTCTGCCTTAAGATTACAAGTTTATGGTGCCACAGCAGTTCATTTTCTCTTACCGTTTTAAAAATAATACGCACATCTGTTTCTCCTACCAAAGTAGATAACCTCACGTTTCCACGTTACGTTCTGTAGTGTTCCACATTACGGTGTGAAGAACTGGACTTGAAACGTTAACTCTGCTTTCTCTGCACAAATGTTACTAGACCTGCGGAGTTTCTCGAACAACTTCTGTTTAAGCTCTGTCCTGATCTTGCCTGTTCACTAAGTCTGTCCAAATCCATCTGTAGTTGCCTCACATTCCCACTTAAATTTTTGCACCGTCCACAAATGTGGACATGGGAACTTTTGCATCCACCCAATTTCATACACACATTCCCTATCTCCATCGTCGCAATGCATGAGATCAGATCCGAACAGTGGACGCTGTTCATGCCGAGGCCATCGGATGGATAACCGTTGCTGCGCGCGTCCCGTTGTACACGCGGCGCCCTCTCGTTCACGAGTTGGCGTGCGCGCGTCCGAATGTATGCGCTACGTCACGCGTGTATGTGTTAGGGGTGGGGGAGGGAGAGACTGGAAAGTGAGCAACATTATAGTTTGGGGGGTGAACGGTTTTTGTGACGCAACCTGCTGTCCTCCCTACACCCCTTTTACCCCGGGCGCCATTCACAAGTCGCCCGCGAGGCTGTAGGAAGTCAGGCGCGAGGAGAAGGAGGGGGAATCTGCAATCGAACGGCGCGAGCGGCAACGTTCCATTGGCGGCGCGAGGTTGCCGGGGTTGTACGTCGTCGCGAGCGTTGCCGCGTCCGTTTGTAAACAGATGCTGACACGTGATGTGAGGAGTCCGCATTGTCTCGGAGATCTTTCTGGAGAAGCGACAGAAGGAAGAGGAGGAGGAGGATAGGGAGAGTCGGGGAGAAGAATTAAGGAGTTCGTGTCGAGCCCGAGCCGAAGGGGGACGAGATCTAAGGCTACTTTCAGCAGCAGTTATTAGCAACCGGCGACCGCCCGCGGGTCTGGATGGTGGGACAGTTGCGGCTGAGGGGGCAGGCGGCGGTGGAGGAGGAGGAGGAGGAATGGTGTGAGCCAAGATGGCTGGTCCAGCTCTGAACTTGTAACGGATGGTGTGGCCGCAATTGTCTCCTGGCGTGGGGAGATATTCTCCTTATTTTCCAGCGTCCCTTATCTTGGGTGGGCAGAGCGTGTAGACGATGTCATTCGCCGTGGAAGACAACTTGGAGTCGGACTGGGTGGCTGTGAGACCCCACGCCTTCGACGAGAAGGAAAAACACAAGTTTGTTTTCATCGTGGCTTGGAACGAAGTGGAAGGAAAGTTTGCCATAACCTGCCACAACAGGACTGTCCAGAGGAAGAGGATTGGAGCGAGGGACCAGCGATTAAGGCGGGAGGTAGAGGAAGATGAGGAGGGGGCCCAGAAATCCCAGGGATTCCAGGCCGGGAGCTCAGTTCGATGGGATGCTGGGGTCCAGAGTCCGGCCCGGAGTGGAGAGCCTGGTTTCAGAAGTCCAGCCCGAGGACGGACCAGCATCAAGAGCCCAACAGCAAGGGAAATCGGAGTAAGGAGGCCACCTCAAGAAGAACCGGGGCTCTCTGCGGTTCCTTTGGGCGATACAAGATCGATGGATTGCCTTGTAAGTGAGGCAGATATTTCAGGCCCGGTTCAGGATACTGTTCATCTCCAAGATTCTGCCAAGGCAGCCGATAGGGATCAGGACCAAGAGAAGGATATTGTGATACCCGATGATTGTAGCTGGGCTGGTCTGTTCTCCTTCCAGGATTTGAGATCCATTCATCAGCAACTTTGTGCCGTGAATTCGGAGTTAGAACCTTGTTTGCCAGTATTTCCTGAAGAACCCTCAGGGATGTGGTCAGTGCTCTTCGGTGCATCTGAAGTGATTGATGGAGAGATGGACTCGCTGTGCTTACAACTTCAAGTTTACCTTGGCCATGCTCTGGATGTCTGTGGATGGAAAATTCTTTCTCATCTCCTGTTCACTGAAAACGATAACCCGGATGAATATTATGAGAGCTTGAGTGAGCTGAGGCAGAAAGGATATGAAGAGGTATTGCAGAGAGCCAAAAAGCGGTTGCAGGAGGTGAGACTACTTGATTTCGTATGACAGAATATCGCATTTTATATAATAAAACTTCATTTTATTTAATCTTTTATGTAAAAATTAGTCTTAGTTTCTCAATGTCACCATGTTTGGCTTAATAGTTGGGTTAGTAATAACCATCCAAATGGGTTACAAATGAAATATATATCTTTATATCAATTTGTGCAATTTTCATTTGATGAATCAGTAACTAGGTCGGAAGTAATCTGTTGCTGTTTGCTGTTGTACTTGGAAAGCAAACTACTTTTTTGTCTTCTTTAATATCAGCTATTCGAGTGTCATTTGTGGCTCAGTTGCTAATACTCAAGCCTATGAATTGGGAGCTGTGGATTCATGTTCTATTTCCGGGCATAAACCCAAAAATAGAAGTTGACACTCCAGTTTGGTACTGTGGGAGTGTAAAGTATGCTATAGCTCAGAATAGATGTTTAAATGAGGCGCTCCTTGTCCTCTTGGGTGGATGTAAACACCATCAAGAAGAAAAGCAGGGGAGATTTTCTGGCCAATATTTATACCTTAGACAATATACCAAAAACAAATTATCTGGTCGTTATAATGTTGCTGTTTGTGGGAGCTTGATGGGCACAAAGTGATTACACATTTTTAAAAAGTGCTTTAATGATTATAAAGTACTGTGAAACATGCTGCTGTGAAAGTCACTATATAAATTGAAGTTTTTAAATTTATTTTTAAGGACTAGTTGCCAGTAAAGTGGTGATGGCACTTAAATTTTACAAGTTGATTTGCTTAAGATCCAAGTAATCAAACTATTTGTAGAAATCAATCTTAGTTGTCATCAAACCAGTGTGGACATTTGTGAACCTTTGCATCTCTTTGTTTTAAACTTTTTCTGCCTGCCATCTGTTGATTTACATGATGGAAACGTGATCTGCAACCTTGGTAGGTCAAACTCTTCTACAAACACAACTACATCATTGTAGAATAGCCTGAGACTGGCAGTGACAAGTAAAACCAGCTGTTCTGAACACCCGTGAAATGTGTATTGCCTCAAGTTTTTAACCCTTTTACAGAGGAACGAAAGTGATATGTTAAGTATTATGTGGTGTACTTTGCATTTCAAACTTTCACAAACTGATTTTCAATGAATTGTTTCACTGTCTCATTGATTTACCCTTATAATCAGTAGGGCAGAACATGTCCTGTTGCAGAATTAAGTTTAGTTTTGTACTTATACCATGCAACATAAGAATTTTACAATAAAATAACTTGTAAAATATCCTGTTTTAGACATTATGTTTCCAGAACGCAACATACAATAACTTTATAATTTCAGCAACAAAATCATCACCTCCTTTTGGTAGTGGTGGTATCTATCTCTGTCATCTTGAGGCTGAATTTATGTGGGTTAGTTCAACCATGGTGGCAACTTTTTGATATTAACTGTACTCCTTTTAAAATGGACAAACAGCTGAACATTATTGTTCACCTTTTCCTAACTACCCGTTGAAGGAAAAAAAACTATAGACTTTTACTGATGTTAAACTGCATCCTGCACCAAATTGCAGTACAGTGATGAGTTGATGCATTTAAAAGTTTTTTCTTGCATTAAATGGATCAAATTGATATTTTTAAAAGAAAAATAATGAAGCATAGTTCATATATAGATGTGTCTATCTGCTTTTGTGTCTAGTTGTTTCAAAAGAAATATCTCTGAGTCTTTATATGACTTGATTTATTTTGTTTTTCTGTTTTTGATTCATGCAGGAAAAACAATTCAATTTATGAACATAGATAAGAAATGGGAGTAAGAGTAGGCCTTTTGTCCTCAAGCTTGCTCAGCTGTTCAATAATTTGACTAATTTGATAAACTCAAATCTTCATTTCTACATACCCATTATCACTTCTTTGCCTATTGCCCCTGTCTTAATAAAAATTCAAGGACTGTGCTTCCACCACATTTTCATGAAGTGTGTCAAATCTCCTTGGGCCAAGATTTGGCAGATTTACTGTAATGTGATAAATATGAGGTTATACATTTTAGTTGGAGGAATAGAAAGGTGACTTATTATCTAAATGGAGAGAAACTCCAGAGTGCTTCATTGTAGAGGGATCTGGATGTACCCATGCAAAAATGCAGAAAACTAGTATGAGGGTGAAGCAGATAATACAGAAGGCCACATGGAATTTTGGTATTTATTCTTAAAACAATAGAGTATAAAAGTAGGGAGGTATGGTTGCAACTTCGCAGAGCATTAGTGAGTCAGCACCTGGAGTATTGTGTACAATTTTGGTCACCTTTACCTGAGGATAGATGCAGTTGCATTGGAGGCAGTTCAGATGAAGTTTGCCAAATTGAGTCCAGAGTTAAGGAGTTTGTCTTAATGAGTGAGGTTGAGCAGTTTGGGCCTGTACTCTCTAGAAGTTAGAAGAATGAGAGGAATCCTAATTGAGGTATAAAGGGATTGACAAAGTAGTCTTAGGAAGGATGTTTTCTCATGTGAGGCAATCGAGAACGAGGGTTCATAGTTTTAGGGATAATGGGTAGCAGTTTTAAAACAGAGATGGAAGAAAATTACTTCTCTCAAAGGGTCGTGAATCTGGAGTTTACTATCCCAGAGTGCAGTGAATCCTGAGATATTGAGTAAATTTACGGAAGAGATAAACAGATTTTTATTAGTAATGGGTTAAGAGAATGAGCAGGAAAGTGGACTTGAGGCCAAATTAAGATCAGCCATAATCATGCCAAATGGTGGGACTCAGGGCTGAATTGCCTACTCCTGCATATGTTTTTATAAGTCTCAAGACCCACTAAAAGCTTTCACCAAATTTCAGTTTTAAATGAACAACCACTGATTTTTAAATAGTGACCCCTAGTCTGGATTCTTCCATTGAGGAAATACCCTCTCCATGTCTACCCTGTCAGCAGGGCATGTCTGCTTTTCTGCAGTTAATTCTACTTGTGATACTTCAAAGAATGAGAAGGAAGTTATGAAGCTTTTAAAAATCTTCACATTGTTTTGGTGGTCTTTGCATCCCAGAATGTCATTAAAGCAAATCACTGCTTTTTTTTTGCTACAAATCTGCATCTTTAATACTTGATGTAGTGGCATCTGTATCAAATAGACAAAAAAATAAGTATAATGGTGGTAGCTTTTCAGATAAATGTAACTACAATATAAAAATTAAGAAAAAAAATCTGCCTACACATAGCTCTTACTGTTTAAAAAAATACTTAGTGCATGAACCAAGGTGCTGGCTTTCTGTGCTGTAATTTCTGAGATTCTGAAGCTCTGTTTTTGGATTTATTTAACTAGAATTAATTTAATTCCATGGATGTTTCTTTTTAGTACTAAAGTTAATGCAGTTGAGCAGTGCTTAATCCAAATTTATCTTTGTTAATAATAGCATCTGTCAAATTGAAAAATTGTTGCTTTTATTTTCAGATTTTCAACCTTTCCATTTTTTCAGCATTTGACTATTCTTGCTTTGTTACATAATCTATATGATCAAAATGGTTGACTCGGTGTCTTTTCCTTTACTTGCCACATAATATAAATTTTATTCTTAATGGTCAATGCATGAATAACGCCGTCATTTTAAATTATTAACTTTGTATGCCAGTACAAAATATACCTTTTGCCATCAGCAGTGCTAAGTATATAGAACATTAAAGTTGCCTCTCAGAACAATTTGTTGTGTTCCTATAGTGAACACATGCAAAACGATAGAATTTGTTGAATAAAAACAGAAAGAACTGCGGATGCTGTAAATAAGAAACAAAAACCAAGTTGCTGGAAAAGCTCAGCAGGTCTGGCAGCATCTGTGAAGGAGAAAACAGTGTTAACGTTTCGGTTCCAGTGACCCTTCCTCAGACCTGCTGAGCTTTTCCAGCAACTTGGTTTTTGTTCCTGTGATAGAATTTGTTGAGTGTGGCTGGAAAGGCCAGTATTTATCGCCCATCTATAATTGCCTTTGAAGGTGGTGTTGAGCCTCCTCCTTGAACTGTTATAAGTTAATGCCCCAGGTCCAACCCACTTCGGTTGCTTCATCAATGACCGTGCCGTCATCCTGAATTCAGAAGTGGAGGTGTTTGTTGATGATAATCCAAATGCACCATTTGTGATTCTTTGGATACCGAAGCAGCTTGTGTCCATATGCAGCAAGACCTGGGCAGTGTTTTGGCTTAAGCTGATAAGTAGAAAGTAACACTAAACACAGAGAATGCTGGAGAAACTCAGCAGGTCTAGCAGCAACTGTGGAGAGAGAAACAGTTAACGTTTCAAGTCCGATATGATTCTTCAGAACTGAAAGATGTTAATGAAATGATAATAGTTCCACACAAGTACTAGGCAGTGACCATCTCCAGTAATAGATAATCTAATCCAAACCCTGATAGTCAATGGCTTTACTATCGTTGAATTACAAACTATTTACATCTTTTTACCATTCACCAGAAACTGAATCAGCCATTTAAGTAGTGCGGCCACAAAAGCAAGTTAGTGGCTGGTAGTTCTGTGGCAAGTGGCCACCTGATTCCCCAAAGCCTATCCACCTCTACAAGAAACATCAAGACTGTGATGGAATACTCCGCCTTACTTGGATGAGTGTTTCTCCAACAATACTCAACAAGCTTGACACCATCTAGGGCATAACAACTTGCCTGACAGATATCCCATTCACTGCGACCACAACAGATGTGTGTGGCAGAACTGCACGTTATCTACAAGCTGCACAGCTGCAGCTCACCAGTGCTCCTTAGTAACACTTCCCAAGCTGCAACCTTTCTGACCCAGAAGGACAAATATGTCAGATGCATGGCAATGCCACTTCCTACTAGTTCCCTTTGAAGCCAAAAACCAATCTGATTTTCACTTACATTGTCACTCCTTCACTGTTGGTGGGTCAAAATCCTGGAACTCCTTAATGTAACTCAAGAAATAGATCCAGGAGTAAGCAACTCAGTTCTTCAATCCTGCTCTGCCATTCGATAAGATCATGACCGATTGTCTGCATCATTCCTGTATTCCTTTTTAAAGTAGCAACGTTGGTGTACTAACAACACACGAACTATATTGGTTTAAGGCCACAATCTAGAGCGCAGTTAGAGATCGATGGTGGCCTAGCCTGGAAAGTTCATGTCCCATTAAATAATTAAAATGATCGCTGACTTCTGGGATATCCCTTTCAAACTTAGCTCATGACTACTGAGAGATGCACCACCTATGAAGCAAGAGAGTGGTACAGCAAGCCCACCGTGATCATAGAGTATCTCATCCAGTGAGCCATTGGCATTTTGAAACTGCGCTTTTGGTGCCTCCATAAATCTGGAGGTGCAATTAATACTTTACATTGTGCATGTCCTGTTTGACAGTGGTCTGCCATGAAAAAGCATTGTACAGCAGAAGGATTAGAACTGGAGCATGACAAATGCATTTATCAATTATCATCTGATGACAAGACCACCAGAAGAAGATGAGGAGACAACAGAAATAAAGATGGGAATTCAGTTGCCAGACCATTCATGTGTTTTGCTACCAGTGAGGCCCTAATTGCCATGAGGTTTAGCTTGCGACTCATACTAGATGAATGAAAACTGCAATTTTCCAACCCACTTCCAATTATAGCACCCCCACCCCCAGCAGCACCTCCAGTGGATCCTATTATGTATTGATCATCAATGTGAAATAACTGAATGGGCAGGTTGCCTTTTGGTGCAGTGATGGTGCACATCATTACCTTTTTTTTGCTACCATTTTTTAAAAAAAATGAGATCTGACAACATTTCTTTCAAATACATTTATACTGACTATTAGTTAATTGCTTGCTTTTTAAAAACTGCCCTCCTATCCCACTGCATGGACAGATGCAATCATTAGGAGTAGAATCAGTATGCTGGAGACTGTTCTTTTGTTGGTGGGTTTGGCCTAATATTCCGAGGTCCATTTGCTGCTGCAACTGCTGCAGAAAAGGCCTGTGAATAGGTACATTTTCATTGCTTTTCGTAGAAAGCCTATTTCTTGAATAATCAAGTGATTTGCTAATTGTATCAATAATCATGATCGTATGTGTTAACAGTCAATGCCATTACATTTAATTTATTTGGATTTTGATTGTGAATTTTTCTTAGACTTACCTTTAATCAATTGCCTATTACGTCAATAATGTGAAACTTGTTACATTACAGTCCTGTTAACCAGACTTGTAGTAATAGTAATGAGGTTTCTAGTTCATTCCTAAGAAGAGGCCTATTACTTTACAATTAAGAAAATTATTATATATTTTGAAGTGATGATGGCACAGTGGTCATGTCGCTGGAGAAGTAATCCAGAAGCTAGGCAATAGGATGTGGGTTCAGATCCCAACACATTAAGTGGTAGAATTTGAGTTCAGTTAATAAACATGGAATTTAAAAAAAAGTCTCAGTTTCATTACTATTCCATTACTATTACTATTACTATCATTGATTGTCACAAAAACCCTTTTGTCCACTAATGTCTTTCAGGGAAGGAAATCGGCCATCCTTGCTCAATCTTACCTATGTGTCTGATTCCAGACTCTCAGCAAAATGATTTACTCTTAACCGTCCTCTGAAACGGCTGAGTAAACCGTTCAGTTCAAGGACAACAAATGCTGGCTTTGTCCACCTCCATTTAAGAAAGATTTGATTTTGTCAATTTACCCTTTGCTCAACATTTGGACCCCAAATCCATGGTCTATGATGAAAGCTCCTCACTCAGTTTTCACTTTGCAGTTGCCTAGAGTCTGAAGAGTTGAAAAAGGGTATCACAGTAAAAATGTATATTGAAATCAATGTCTTTTAAAGTTACTTGCAGCCTTACAATTTTTAACTAATGAAGAGTTAAATTATTTTAATAAGCTTTGACATAAGATATAATCTTTATTTGGTTAATCTGAACCCATCATTCTCCCCTTAGCCCTCAATATCCTTTTGAACTACAAATCTACTTGTATCTTAAACACATTAACGATGCTTGGTTCAGTGGTCTTTGGCAATTATTCTGTATGTCTGTTTCTGTTTGACGTACTCCAGTTCGATCAGTATTTTTGGCCTTTGCATGATAGTGCTAGTTCTCCTTCAGTCCGCTAAAATCCTTTTCTTTAGATTAGTGTAGCTGCTGGGAACAAGGTATGACTGATAGCTGTGCTGTAATTTAAGACAGATCTGTAAATGAATGTATAATTCCAAGTGTTTTACATTGTAGTTATTTTAAAAGAATTACATTAAATTGTGTTACCTAATGATCTTAACTTTTAGAAGCAGTTGTATCAAGTGCTTCTAAAAGAGTCTATAGCAAAGGCATTAAAATTTGGGAGCAAGGAGGATGTGCCTATGAAGAGTGAAAATGAGTTGAGGACAGAATATAAAGGATAATGGCGAATGATGTTTCTTGAACTGGGAACACATCCTTGGTATTTTAAAAGAATGTATATTGAAATGGTCTTCGGAATTGAGGAATGAGTATTAAAGTTTGCTGCTGACATCAAATTGTGAACAGGGGATAGGAGAATAGCTGAATTAATCAGTTGTCTAGTGATAACAGTACGTTAAATGTCATAACAAGGTGTGGAGCTGGAGGAACACAGCAGGCCAGGCAGCATCAGAGGAGCAGGAAAGCTGACGTTTCGGGTCGGGACCCTTTTTCCTGTGACGCGGCCTGGCCTGCTGTGTTCCTCCAGCTCCACACCTTGTTACATCAGATTCCAGCATCGGCAGTTCCTACTATCGCGCTAAATGTCATGTTGTTTAAGATTTTATAACAAGGGTTTTGTCTTTAAAGGTGGCTAACTTAGCCTAATAACTTGAGGCCTTCACAAAGCTTTTTACTGCTTATTGCTGAGCTCTATTTTTCCATCCATTTCATCTTTCCATTGGTGTCACTGAAGTAACTGATAATATAACTGGTGCAAAATGTTTCATACATGCAATTTAAACATGGAAGTTAAAACTTGGAAGGAGGTCATTAAACTCAAATAGTATGTGATGATATTTACCCTCTGCATGAGCCATTGGTTCTAATCTTATTTATCTACCCTGTTCCCAAATCTCTTGAACTCTATCCAATAAATCTTGAATTTGCGATTGTTTTTGCTTTAAACTCTAATCCTTAAAGTGTGTTCCATAACTGCTCATTCTTGTGACAAAATTCCTTCTGCTCTTTGATGCAAGTCTCACACATTTAATCTTGTATTTTTGCTTTTTCATTTCTATTATTTGTTTTGTGTGTCTCCTTCATTTCTATCAAGCCTGGTGCTACATCTTGGTTCAGTCACATCTGTCGTTTGTCCTAAATATTCTGCCTTGTGAATCTGGCATTCATAAGAGTTTCTAGTGTCCCCAGTAAAGACTAAAATTACCCACAACAGAAGCCCCTAGTATTTTTTATTTTATGCAAAGTACAGGTTTATACAAAATAGAAGTGTCACATTTTGGGCATTGCATGTTTCACTGCTTGCATTTCTTAGACTGAAATTTATTTTTGAATGTGCTTTATTAATCACCTGAAAGTTTGCCAGAGTCAATGTACAAAACTTAACAACAGTAGAAAAAAATTGAGATTGAGTGAGAAATTCTAATAGTAGATCAAATTCTGATTTGTACATAGCTTTTGGAGAAACACAAGATCACAGAGGTTATGGTAGAATTGCTGGAACTTTACCAGGAGGAAGATGATGCTTATGTTGCTTTATCTGAAGCAACTACAGAACTCTACCAATATCTACTCCAACCGTTTCGAGATATGAGAGAATTGGCTATGCTGCGACGCCAGCAGATAAAGGTAAGATTTTGCAGTTTAACTCTTTCTTGGCATATAAATACAATTCCTCTAAGTACTTCTGTATGTGGAGAAATGAAAGGCACAGCGTATCCCACAAATGAGACCTAATATTGTGCTTTGCACCGACCTGTCTTGAATAAAATCCACTGTGTTGTTCACTGGTTTCCATTTTGTGTTCTGTTCAGAGTATTTATTGAATTACCATAGAAAAAACATTCCAAGTTTTTTTTGTGTGGAGAAAGGGAAAGGACGTTTAACCTTTTGCAGAAAAAGTACAAGCTGTGACTGAACTGCAAGAAGAATTGGGCATTGAAGGTGGGTTTTAAAGGTATAACTTGAGGTTGAAGAACAGAGAAATTTAGTTAATGAATTCCAAAACAGAGTGCAGAGAAAGCTTTGCTGGTAAGTAATGAGGTCTAGAGAAGAGACACCTATGTAGATAACCAGAGCCAGGGGACACGAGTGGTGACGCAAGTTTGAAGGTGGTTAAGTAGGGTGAAAAAACAATGTGGGAGAATTTAAAGATCTACATAAGACTTGTCATTCGTATGCATGACACCAGATTGCTGAAGTGATTGCACTACTCAGATCTCAGCCAGGGCAAAAAGTTCCCAGGAGGACAGCCGTTCATTAATATTTACCATAACTCATTGATCACTACAGTTTTCTTGTGCTCTTTCCTGCGAGTGCCGTATTTTACTCTTCCCATTTTGTCTGTCTCCAAAGCATTTGTTCTGACTGCCAGATATGCCTAAATGCACTAACATCCTCATCGAGTTCGGATTCCCTGGCTTGTGACTGATCAAAATAGAGAAGCTTCATTTGAGAATGCACTGAACACACCATGGGAACTCAGGAATATGCAGATGCAGGGAATATGTGAACTTATAGACCTCCCTACACTTAATTATCTGACTCAACAAGTATCACTTACTCCACATGTGTCAAAATCTGCAGAACATGAATTGGACTTAACATTTCAGAATCAGAACCCATTGAACTGGAGTGGGAGGAACGCGACCTCCATCTCAAGGGCTTGTGTAAAAATGAGACTATTATCACTGGCTACACTTTGCTAGGTGCCATTTTGTAATTTCCTTGATGGAATTGAATTTTTAAACTCCAGACCTGCTTTTTACCCTGGTACACTTGTGAGCAAGTCATTGAATTAACTTAAATATTTAGTTTTCAGGCTGTCAGCAAAGACACGACAAAACACCAGCTGTTGTTGCAAAAAAAGTCACTGTACTTTCCACTTCAGTTTACAGGAACTGTTGTATGTCTTGCATATAATAGTTGAAATCCATGTCTGACTATGAGTGAAAAGTAACTTGATTTGAGCTGTTCAGACACTGTGTAAATGGTTTACTTGTTGGGAGAAAGATAGTTTTAGTACAACTTTAGTACACATTGATTTGTGATAAATTAGTTCAGGCAAAACTAGATTTAAGTGCTTTATTTAAGGTGCAAGATCAGCAAGTTCTTGTTGGATTTTGTTGTGGTCGTAATTTGATTGAAGTGACCATAAACCTAGAAGCAGAAGTTGACCATTTGCTATTTGATGAGATCGTGGCTGATCTGATAATCCTCAGTTCTGCTTTCGTGCCTTTTCCTCATGACCTTTTTATTCCCTTGCTGATTAAACATCTGTCTATCTCAGCCTCGAATATACTTAATAATCCAGCCTTTACAGACTTCTGCTGTGAAATATTCCCCAAATTCATTCTCCTTTGAGAGAAAAATTCTTCTTCATCTCTGTCTTCAATGGGCAAATTCTTATGCTGAGAGTGTCTAACCACTTGTGAATATTTGTACAAAAATAGAATCTTTAATAATTTTTTAAAAATCAAGTGTGTTCACTGACAGGCATTTAATATGTCTTTCTAATCCAAAATGAAAATCCTAAGTGGTGTTTGTTTCAATGAAATGTGACATATTCTTTGGAAAGGATGGCATTAAGATGAAGGATAGTTATTTGAAGACATTGGAAAAGCTGGGGTTTTCTTTCTTGGAAGAAAAAGTTAAGGGATCTTCTAGAAATGCTCACAATCATTATGGTTTTGATAAAGTAAGGAATGTCGGTTTCCTGAGATCATAGATTTAAGATATTTGGCAAAAGAACAGGCGGTGACTCAACGGAACTTTTACTCTGTGTATTCCAGATCCCAACAACAATCTCAAAGAGTAGTAGAATATTATTGAAAAACAACATTGAAAGAGAATTGGATAAATACAGTTAGCAATACCTTACTATATAAAAAAGGACTATTGGGAAACAAAAGCTGCAGAATTTATAACTATTTGGAAATTTCCTGGATTGAAAGGGCATTAATCATGTACTTTCACGTACTTGGACTCCACTCGCTTCTTCTCAATAAAACGTGTCTCTAAGAATCTATGTGGGCCATGACGAAGCTGGCTTTTCATGGGATGAAGGAATTTTTTTTTGTTCTAGTGCCTCATCTACCTGTTGGGGTAAATTTGATGGCTACATTGATGTCCTCTTTCCTGAAGTAGAAAAACTTTTTCAATTTCCACCTTTCTCCATCCTTCCATTTCTGTCTCTTCCCTTTGCTTACCTGACTTTTTTATCTCCATTTCTGGGGTTTGGCTGTTGAATAATATTTACCATAACTCATTGATCACTGTAGTTTTCTTGCCCTCTTTCCTGTGAGTGCTGTATTCTACCCTTCCCATTTTTTCTGTCTACAAAGCATCTGTTCTGACTGCCACCTTCTACACAAGTGTTTTCAAAATGCTGTTCCTTTTCTCTTGCTAAGGATTCTTAATTACCTATGGTCTACAGCACAGTTGACTGTCTGATCCATGTCCCTTATTACTTCCCACTCCCACTCTAATTTTGGGTCAGACTCTGAATTGAAGTCATTTGAAAAATTTTTTGAGATTTGTAGCTCAGGTTGTGGATGAGGTTGTAGACTTGCTCGCCGAGCTGGTGCGTTTTAATGTGGATGTTTCGTCACCCTGCTAAGTAACATCATCAGTGCGCCTCCGGTGAAGCGTTGGTATTCTGTCCCGCTTGTTATTTATATGCCTCGGTTTGCTGGGGTGGTTGGCATCACTTCCCATCTGTTTTTCAGTGGTTTGTATAGCATAAGTCAAACAGAGACATGCCAGCGAATTCTTGGAGGCCTGGCATTCCAGCTGAAACTCCATCAACAAACACATTGAACCGGACCCGATATACAAACCACTGACAAACAGAACCGGAAGTGATGCCAACCACCCCAGCAAACTGAGGCATATAAATAAGAAGAGGGACAGAGCATTGAAGCTTCAACAGAGACGCACTGACAATATTATCTAGCAGGGTGACACAACGCCTGCAGTCAAACACACTGGCTTGGCGAGCAGGTCTACAACCTGAAGTCATTTTTTTTCTTTTGAAGAGCACCATATTTGCTTTGCACCATCAGCGTTTGTTGTCATTTACTTGTTGATGCCTATCGTTGGAACACAGTCTTCCCTTTTGATCGTTCAAATTCCAGTCAGTTTCACCAGACTTCTGGGTTTTGTCAAAGTTCTAACATTATAATGGATATTATAGTGTGAAGCTTTGCACATTCGGCGTTGATTTGATGAAGTTCAAGTCTAGCAAGGCAAAATTCACAGCTGTATTATAATTTAATGTAACATCATTTAATTTGTTGCATTCATTAAGTGCTCCAGCATGTTCTGTTTTGCATAGAAAATACATATGGCGTTTGGAACGAGTAGCCAGAACTGAGATATCTTCTGCTTTTGGCTGTTTTTATGTTTCCAATAGATGATGTAGTAATACATTGATATTAGAATTCCTTTTCTTCATATTGCAAATAACCCAGCATTCAATCTAAGCTTATTTTAGAAAGTAATTATTGTATGTTACAGTTTAAATGGCTGTTGTAGACTTAGCATTGTTTGACAATATGCAAGGTTTAGTAAAGATCTGCTTCACAAGACAATGTTTGATTCACAGTTGTTCGTAACCTGCCACTGAAAATTTCTTGAGAGATACAAATAAGATGAAAAAAAATTAACAAAAAAATTTAACCAACAGCGAAATTCACATTTCACCTTGGAGAAACCTAGGAGAGCTTACAGCAGGGGAGTAGCTAAGTAGCTTTTTAAAGTGTAGCCTAACTATTTTTTTGTAAATCTACAATAGTAAGTAGAGTGGGTTCCATCTTGTATATATGTTTTACTGAGATTTGTCTCTTGATTAAACTTTAAAAGTATAAAACGTAGGTACTAAGTTAGTATGGAGCAATGTTTTTAGACCAGTAAAATGCTATTTCCTGTGTCTGTAGTTTAAGGTGCGAAGATGGCCTTTTAGTGGAGTGATGTGCTCTTCCTGTCAGATGTAGTAGATTAGGGAGAATTTCCATGTTACTGATGATTATATCTGCAAGAAGGCATGAAGTGTGTTTGGTTGCAAATCCTATCGGATTGCATTGATCAGTTGGAACAGCACTTGGAGGCCATGAGGAATTTAGAAGAACTAGGGGGTGTGATGGATGGCAGTTGCAGGAAGGGAGATAAACTGAGGATACAGTCAGGTAGATGGGTTACCTCCAGGAGAGATAGAAGAGGGAGGCAGGTAGTGCTGGAGTCTCTTGTGGCTATCCCCATCTCAAACAGATACACTGTTCTGGAAAATGTAGGGGATGATGGACTCTCAGGGGAATGTAGCACTGACAGCCAGGTTTCTGGGGGTACCGAGGCCAGCTCCAATGTAACGAGCGGTATGCCAGGTTCTGAGTGATCGATTGTGATAGGGGACTGTCTAGTCTGAGGCACAGACGGACGTTTCTGCTGCTGACAGCAAGACATCAGAATGGTGTGTTGCGTCCCTAGTACCAGAATCAAGGATATCTCGGAGAGGGTGCAGAATATTCTCAAAGGGGAAAGGGACCAGCCGGCGCTCTTTGTGCACATTGGAACTAACAACATAGGAAGCGAGAAAGATGAGATTCTGAGGAGACAATATAGGAAGTTAGGCAGGAATTTGAAAAGGAGGTTCTCGAGGGTAGTAATATCTGGATTACCGCTGGTGCCATAAGCTGGTGAGGGTAGGGAATAGGAGGATAGAGCAGATGAATGTGTGGCTG